GGGGGGGGGGGGGGGGGTGTTCTTTAAAATACAAAACTTTCGTCCAAATGTCATGGAACGGTACCGAATGTCATGGTACCGGACCAGACGGAGACTTTCTGGGGGCAGTCCATTGTCAGTGACACAGCACACTAGGCTCTTGACTGGACATTCAGATAGCATACCAAACTGAACTGATTCGGGATATTCAGACAGCACACCAAACTAAACTCATACAGGACATTCAGACAGCACACCAAACTGGACCCACAAGCCACGCCCACCAAGAAATAACAACAGAACTCCAGCTGTGTCAGATTTGTGTCAATAAAACTTTGTATTGAATTCAACAAGTATCTGCTCTGCTTGTTATGCAACAACATGAATCAATGAAAACACATTTTTCAAACATTAAAAAAAAAAAATGTTTGCATAAAAGACATTTTGGGTCATAAGTTGGGGAGGAAACAAACAGACCAACAGGTTGGCAAACCAACACATGATATCACAATAAGCTAAAGTCAGTAATTTAAGTCTTTTCTTCTTTTTCTTTCTACAAGTTAACATTTGATGAGTGATTCTCAAAATAACGCAGCGGTGTCCTGGTCAGTGCCAGAAATTAGGCACAATGTATGTGTTTATGATTCTGTCCTCCCAAATTGACATGGTCAAATCATGGGTTTAGTTAGCATTGACATAGTCAAATCATAGGTTTAGCATTGACAAATAATGAAATCCAATGTAACGATGATTTTTATGATTATTTGTTAAAACATGCCTGGAATGTCAATGAATAAGCATTTGACAAAAAAAAAAAAAATTGTGATTGTTCAAATTCCTAGAAGCAACATTTGTATAAAATATTTCAGAAAACCAAACCAAAACAACTGGTCTTGAGAATTGAATGTAACAGAATGCTGAACACAAAATCATTCTTGGAGTTTCTTTGGAAATATATATATTGTTTTAAAGTCAACAAGTTATTTTTCAAAATTTTAAACGTCAGGACCTTTAAAGACTTGTAATCAATTCCTGTAGGTGAGTCTGTAGGTGAGTACATCACCTGCAACAATGTGTAATGTTTTATGCCATTTATAAGCTAGGGAAAAGATCTTTGGTGGAAAGTTCAAAGTTCATCGGTCAGCTAAGTGTCTACCATGGTCGCCAGAGGCGGTCTTCCCCGACAGAGGATGCGGGCGAGGTGGATTCCTCATGGCGGATGCAGTGGCGCTCGTCCTCCATGACCATGCTCATGTACTTCAGTGTGGAGCCGTCAATGTGTTTACGGCCATCCACAATGACGGATGCAAATTTCGATGGATAATGAGATGAGAAGACGCTTTTGTCGCTCAGGATGTAGTGGCCGGGGGAGACTCTATCGTTGGCGGACAGCGGCACTTGTTGGTGGTACTCCTGGTGGGAGGCAGGGTATTTGCTGGGGTAGTTGTTTTCCTTGCGGGAGTCGTAGTACTGGGGCGACTGGGAAAGATTCAATGGGGAAATGAGTTCGGAATCAGATGACGATGATGTCATGGAATATGTTCTTGATCGAGGGATGTAGTCATCCTCGTGGGTGTAGTAGCTGAGGTGCTTGGGGAGTCTCATGGGTACTGGAGACATGGATCTGTCCCTGAGGTGTGGCGAGGAGGATGAGGAGATGACTTTCTCCTGTTGTGGGGCAGGGAGGTGACTGATGGACTGGGGTGCGGTCTCCTGTAGCCGGGAGAGCTGTTGGGGCTGTGACATCTTCTGTTGCTGGGGGAGTTTGGACTGGATGAGGACAGGAGAGAGGACGGGTGGAATCTGAATGTGGAGGGGCTGGGTGTATCTCGAGAAAGGTGATGATGCGGAGACAGGTGAGGGCGCTGCGGAGACAGCCACGTGTGAGACTGGGGATGTGGACAGATTAGCAGGGGAAGATGTGATCTGTACTGGTGCTGAGGCTGCTGCTGGTGTGTACTGTTTCATCTGATGGTAGGAGCCGTTCACTATTTGAATAATTTGTCCGTTGGGCAGCTGAGCGGCTGTCGTCTGTTGCTGGGCTGGTACGGCGATCGCTGCATTTGTCTGACCACTGGGGTTAACATTGTTCTGGGGCTTGCTGAATGAAGACTTGCTGGCCAGTTGGACACAGCTGGCCAGGTGACCCACCACTCTGGATTTGATGTCGTCAGTAAATCCCTGGGACTGTCCGAGGTACCTGATCACCTCGTTGGCGCACTCCATGAACCCAGCTTGGTATTTGCCTGCCAGGGAGATGTCGCTGCTGGCCACAGCGGACTGCTGTTGCAAGTGCTGCTGGTTTTGGAGGTTGCGGAGGTATTTGACAGTCAGCTCCAAGATGTCTGCCTTTTCGAGTTTGTTGAATTGTGAGCTCTAGAGATTTGAAAAAGTCAAAATAGGGATTAGTTCTAGTGCTATAAGAATGTAATCAATTAAAAATTCTTTTTAAAAAAAAGCTAATGGCTATATATCGAATCAAGCATTTATTGTTCCAGCTGCATGATGTTGGTGCACCGTGTTCAGCCAAGTTTATACACTAATATGCCCTATATATGTTGTCATCCATATCAAAGCCCTTGTGCTTCTTAAGTCTTTATCTTTCTCTACCCAGCGTTATATCAGGCGACCCCAGGTCCACTTTGGGTCAATAATAATTGACAAAAACAAACAGTCACGCATCACAACAATAATGACGAGAGCTTATCGTATGAAAAGTCAAAGTAACTTACATCTTTCTTACTGCTCTGTATGACCAACGACTTGAGCTGAGACAGGCTGTCGTTGATGCGGGCCCTGCGTCTCTTCTCCATGAGCGGCTTGTTCGTCTGTGGGGCAAGAAGACACAACATTTAACATTTTACTCTGAATTCTAAAAGTGAAATCCATCAACCGAGGCAAAAGTAAACCGACCGTAAACTGAATCAACAAAAACAAAGCGGGTATTTTTCAATAAATTTAGCCCGTGTTTTCAATGGTAATTGGCATTATTAGAAGTTAGATATGTAAATGTAACAGCCTCAATGAACTGCACTTAAATATAAATAATAATCGTCTTTTCAATTACTATCATTCAAAAGTTGCCAGGAATTGACGAAATTAGATCATTATCAAATTAACTTTTTAAAAAAACAAAAAAAACTGTTACTGTTAAGTATTATTTTTAAAATTACAGAATAAATATATTAGGGTACAAGTAAAAGATAACTCACTTTTCTGGAAGAAACTCCGTTTGTCGGTGGTGACGTCATTGTCGCGTTTGCCATAGTCATAATAATAATAAATCCAATGAAATACTCCAACAAGTAAACAAGGAATAGTAGTGGGAAAAAAAAGAACGTCTTTAAAGTCAAAGCTCGTCCACGGTGTGTTGGGCTTACGAGCACAGAGACCAAATGACAAATTCCTATGGAGCTGTGCGCTTTTTATCCCTGTCCAGCGAATGCAAGTCTCAGTAAAGGACCCACCTATCCCCCCTTCCCCTAAAGGAGAGGAAGGGAGAGGGGGGATCGAGAGAGATTGTACCAACTCCACTAGAGGAAAGTGGTGCGGGGAGCGGGGGAGAGGGGGAAAGGGGGGGGTGACACATACCGACACCGTCCCGAAGCAAACGGTGTGAAGTCGAAACTTGTCCCTTTCCCACGGTACGGCTATTTGTGGACTTCTTAACGGCCAGCCAATCGTCGACTCGGATCGCGCGCGGCATGCGCCAGCTCAAATCTGATTGGCTTTGCGCCAGATGTTCACGTGCGGGGTCCAGAATGGCGGATCCTCTCATGTCAAGCTCTCGAGTCATCGGCTCGGGCGGGATAAATAGAAGAGGGGAGAAAAAAATCGCCGCACGTGCCGCTTAGATTACAATCGTATGAGGTGGCCTTTTGGCAGTGCGGGAATGTGGTGAGGACCAGAAGATTTTTTTTAAAAAAAGGCACGCATAGATAGACACTTGTTGGTTGCAGCTTTTCTTAAGAAGATAATACGCTCATTTTCCATCAGTAGTAGAAAATACTAGTCTACCAATGGCGTCGCTATGATAGGGGATCAAGTCCCTGGTAGCTTGGGAGTGCCTCAACGTTTATATGACTGCTAAATTTGTTATTTTGTTATTTAAAAAAAAAAAAATGTGGAATAATGTGAGGGTGACTGCGATTAAGCTGAATAGTTCATTCATTTTGATGTTTTTGTGTTTTGTCTATAAGCTGATATANATATATATCTATCTATCTATATCTATATATATATATATAAATATATATATATATATATATATATATATATATTTATATATATATATATAGATATAGATAGATAGATATATATATATAGATATAGATATATTAGGATAATATATACAGTCTATCTTTAATGTTAACAGTTTTAAATTTTCATTTCAAATTAAATAATTCAAAGTTTTAAGGGTCGAGGAAGTGAACACATGTCAAAACTTTTGGTTAGACTGAGGAAATGGACATGGTCAATGTCTACGAGTTGAAAATGAACACTTTTTTGCTGTTGATATGTTCCTGCAGAATGGATTTTTCGCAGTTAATTTTGATCTTGATGAATTTATATATGATTCAGTGAATACAAATTAGTAATACAGTGGGTACGAAGAAGTGGCCGGATGCTATTTTTAGCTTTAAAAAAAAATTCAATTCCAAAACTCCGCACGGGATAGAGAGTACATGAACTCTGTAAATCTGCTTTCTATGGGAGTCGCGAGAAGGATTAATTGGCGGTCTGCGTACTGTGGGAAAACCACGCCTCCTCAACCCCCAACTGTAATGTTCTGATTGTTGTGTAAACAGAGACGGACGATAAGGCATTCCGATGGTTGACAAATAAAAGTACGGAAACCCTGCGTACCACGTTTACAAATATTCAATAACTCAATAATTTTGAAATTATTTTATATTTTAAAATTATTCCTTTTTTTTTCCTTCAGTTTTACTAATAACACATATTAAAATCTAAAAGCTTCAATTATTAATTTTCTCACACAGTCAGACAATACAAAGACTACCAGTAGTCGATTGGATGTCGTGTTTTTAGCAATGCTTATTTTGTATAATGGTAATCAGGGGGAGAGACTGCAATCAGGTGAGCAAAAAAGGAAATAGTAAAACAAAGTATATGAAGACCTGAAAAGGGAACGCAAAAAAACAATGAACGTGTTGGCAGGAAGCCTTCGTCAGCGAAAAAACAACGAAATAAAAACAACAACAGAATAAAATGTTACAAATTGCACTTAGCTGAAAAGTACTATCCGAGAGGGTAGCAAAAGAATTGTGTAACACAAGAAAATAACATTGTTAATTCTATGGGATTACTGAGGTAGTCATTTTAAAGTATTCATGAAAAAAAAAATTGCTGTGTTTCTAGAGATGTGCATTGTTTGTGCGCGACGAGATGAATTTCATTAAAATAAGTAAATAGATTGATATTCAATACATTACCCGTAGTGATTGTTTAAAGGGCTGATCTTTGGCTTTAAAAAATGAAAAATTGAATGCTTTAATTCAGTTGATGTGTTTATATCACTTAATGTATGTGTAAATGTAGGGAAACAAAATGAGTTAGACTTTCAAAAAGTCTAGTTTTATTTGAATTTAACGCGTTAAAATGTTTGGGGACCCGTTGGCGTTGGTAACAATGATTTTAACAAGTAAGAAAGACAGGTTCTTCTAAGTTATTCTCAGATTGCTTTGGCCCATGTCTCACGGAGAATCTTGTCTGAAATGTTTCGGTGAAAAGAAGATTACTATGCTATAACTATACATTGACAGCTTTTCGGCGTGTATTGTGCATTTAAGATCTTTAAAAGTTTAGATTTAAATAAATGACCAGCTAAAATAATTGCTCTGTCGAGCTCATTCTTGAACAATTGAAATAGCCCTTACCCCACCCCCTCACACACACACAAAATGGCGGCAGCCATGTGTGAACTTACTAAACTTACTTGACGCAAAATGCATTCAAGAGACGCACTTTATGAGAATCCGAATTAGTGCTAACTTCCGAGGATTTTATTGTGCGCGCTTATGGAAGACAGCGTGACAGCCAAACATACGGCACATACATAGAAAACTATAGTAGTTGTGATCCGGTTCTTGTGTATGGTTGACTTTTCGTTCATTTTAACTTGAACTTTTGTTTAAATGACACAAATGATAAAACTATTGAACGGTTGAAAAATATAATTCCGTGGTTTCATTGTCGTGGCACAAATTTTTGTTAATGGTCTCCTGTATTTTTTGTGCAAAACACTTCAATGAGGCATATTACTGGGACAATGAAATGATGTCATTGTTTTATTAAAGAAATATATGCAAGTTATTTACACTGTGACTTAACCAGCGTTTCATAATTACTGATTTTTTTTTTTTTTAAACATTATCAGATAAAATTATCTTACACAATTTAAAAATTATCTTACACAATTTAAAAATTATCTTACACAATTTAAAAATTATCTTACACAATTTAATTATCAATTTGTTGTTCTACTTAAACTTTTTATTTTTAAAAAAAAAGTATTAATTTTTTTTTTAAAATATGGTCAAATATGACCAAAACAGAACACCGTACAACTCCCCCCACCGTTCACATGTTTTCTGCTTCATTTGAGCACTTTAATGATTTAATGGGAGCGATCCCACCCCGAGCCTGGGAAAGTGTGCAAGTCTTGTCCTCGGGCCGCCATCTGTTGACATGGTCAGTGATAAATTGACCACATTTTTTGAGACTCGTGGGATCACTTAACCCCTTACCTACATTCGATGTATTCCGGCGGTGTTGGAGATTGGTCGGCCATTGTCAAAACACCGGATCAAAGGGGAGGAAACTTGCGTGACAGACACTGCGTAAACATAAACATTGACAGCAGAGTTGTGTAACTTGCTAGTGGGGAGATAATTTTACATCCATGGTCCCCCGGTTGTCAGGCTGAATTGCGTCAATATTGAGGTCCTTTTAAACTAAACCCGGAAATGTGTAAAAAATAATATTTCAATTAACTTCTTCAGGAGGCGCCATGGACAAATCCTTTACTGTTTAGTATTAAAAAAAGTTAACAGGAAAATTTCGACACTAAATTTAATTACTTTATAAAATAAATTATAAATTATATATCATAAATAACATAATTTAATTTCTATAATACATCTTAAACACTATCTTTAAGAAATATGAAGAATTTCTATAATGAAAAAACCTGTTTTAGACATTCAAGGTAATCAATCACGCATTGAACATGTCCCACCACGATTGTTCACCTTATTATAATTTAAGGACAAAACCTCTCACCTCTCTGTTTTGACACAAGCTCCCGCCTCTCTGCATTTGGTGTAAGTGTAACTATAGGTCAATGTTTAAATAAATGTCCAGGCAACTGTCAAGGTAAATTTTTTTTTTAGATAATAATTTTTGGATAAACGTATAAATTATAGGTAAATGTCTAGGTAACTGTCAAGGCAAACGTATAGGTAACTGTCCAGGCACCTGTCTAGGTACTATTCATGTACCTGTCTACATAATTGTCAGAGTAAATATCTAGCTAACTGTTGAGGCAACTCGGTAGCATCAGGGGAGAAGACGCATACCTTTTCCAGACAGGGGCATCTCATTGTCATGTATAACTTTAAAAAGTCTTACATGGTACGGTTCTAAGTATAGGTCATAGGTCACTTATTCAGTTCGCCACCGGATCTCGCTATGACTGTCATCACATTAATGTCCCAAAGGCCCTGGGTGGTTTTTTTTTTTTTTTGTTGTTGTTGTTTTTTTTTTTTAGTTGCTGACCCAGAACCTCAAAAAAATAAATTTATATTTTAAAANGGGGGGGGGGTGATTTTGTGTTCCATTTTGAAATTAATTAGTGAGCCGTGTCATTTCAATTAAAGATGTTTCAAAATAATGTATCGAGTAAATTACTCTGTAAAGCTAAAAGAAGAATAACTTAATAAGTCGAATTTTAATGAGACTGTTAAATGGCCAAATGGCAACAACAACAAACAAAAAAAAAAAAATAAATTCTCCAGAACATCTGAGGCCAAACTTAGAAGGTAACTTAACAGCCTACCAAGTAAGTACTACCACCGTCAGTCGGCCGATATGGCTGTCTTATTAAGTGTCTTATTTTAATAATACGCCAAAAATCTACCGTCTGCCAGTAGTCTTTTTCAATTTATTTCCCCTCAAAGTTTTTGTTAGCGTTGGGGGTGGGGTGGAATGGGGGTAGGGTGGGGGGGATAACAAGGTCTTTTTCTCAAGGAGAGCAAGGTGCAAACAATAAACTGGACCATCTTTCCCACAGTCGTCCGTTCCCCTGCCATCGTCTGTCCATCTTTAGGGGCCGTTTTCCCACCACCTCGACCGACCAGGGTTTCAGCTAAACCACCTGTTAGGCTATACAAGAGCCGAGTCACCGCCCCGCCACACCGCGGCATGAATAGACCTGGCAACCCCCCTCTCCCCTTCCACCCCCCCCTCTGTTATC